ATCATCCAAACAGAAAACCAATAAAGAAATTATGAGCCTTAAATGACATATTAGACCAAATGGACATAACTGATGTTTACAGAGCCTTTCATCCCAGAACAGCATACTATACATTCTTCTCCAGTGTACATGGAACATTCACAAGGAGAGACCATATGTTGGGTTACAAAACTAGCATCAACAAATTCAAGAAGATTTAAATTATACCAAGCATATTCTCTGAGAACAATGCTTTGAAATTAGAAATCAACTGCAAAAAGGAAGCAAAGAAACCCACAAATATGTGGAGATTAAACAACATACTACTAAAAAATGACTGGGTCAAAGAAGAAATATAAGGTGAGATCAAATATATCGAGAGGCAAGTGAGAATGACAGTATGACATATCAAAATTTCTGGGATACAGCATAAGCAGTAATAAGAGGTATTTTATATTATTACAGGTCTCTGTCAAGAAACAACAGAAATCCCAAGTAAACAACCTAATATTACATCTTAAAGTACTAGAAAAAGAACAAAAGCAACCCAAAGTCAACAGAAGAAAAGAAATAATAAAAATTAGAGCAGAATTGAATGAAATAGAGAACAAAATGACAAAAAAAATTAATACAACAAAGAGCTGGTTCTTTGAAAAGATTAATAAATTTGACAAGGCCCTAGCTCGATTCACTAAGGGGGGAAAAAACAGAAAAAAAATATATAAACAAAATCAGAAATGAAAAAGGAGAAGTTACCACAGACATCACAGATAGACAAAGAATCATACTAGAATACTGTGAAAGACTATATGCCAAAGACTATGTGCTAAAGACAAAATTCAATAACCTAGAAGAAATGGATAAGTTCCTAGAAATATATAACCTTCCTAGACTGAATCATGAAGAATGGGAAAATCAAAATAAACTGATAAACAGTGAGAAAATTGAAACAACCATCAAAAAACTACCCCCCCCCCCAAAAAAAAAGGTCCAGGACCAGATGGCTTCACTAGTGAATTCTACCAAACAAAAAAAAAGATTTGAGCCCTGGTTAGTTTGGCTCAGTGGAGCATCAGCCTGTGGACTGAAGGGTCACAGTTTCGATTCCCAGTCAAGGGCACAAACCTGGGTTGCAGGTTCTATCCCCAGCCCATGGGGTTGGGGCCGTGGAAAGGCAACCAATCAATGTGTCTCTCTCATATTAATGTTTCTCTCTCTCTCTCTCTCCCTCCCCCCCCCTTCTACTTTATCTAAAAATCAATGGAAATGTTTCCTCAGGTGAGGATTAACAGGAGGAGGAGGAGGAGGAGGAGGAGGAGGAGGAGGAGGAGGAGGAGGAGGAGGAGGAGGAGGAGGAGAAGGAGAAGAAGGAGAAGAAGAAGAAGGAGAAGAAGAAGAAGAAGAAGAAGAAGAAGAAGAAGAAGAAGAAGATTTGATACCTATCCTTCTCAAACTCTTCCAAAAAATTGAAGAAGAGGCAATACTTCCTAACACATTTTTATGAGATCTGATACCAAAAGCTAGCAAGGGTATCACACAAGAAAGAAAACTACAGACCAATATCTCTGATGAATAAAAATGCAAAAATCCTAAATAAAATACTAGCAAATAAAATACAATACATTTTTTTTATCCTCACCCGAGGACATTTTTCCATTTTTGTTCAGATAGGGGTGGGGGGGAGAGATGTGAAAGGGACACATCAAGTGGTTGCCACCCGCACGACCCAACCAAGGCTGGGGACCAACTGCAACTGAGGTACGTGCCCTTAGTGGGAACCAAACCCGGGTCTCTCAGGACTGCAGGCCGACGCTCTAACCGCTGAGCCAAACCGACCAGGGCAAAATACAATACATTTTAAAAAATACATCACGATCAAGTGGGGTTCATTCCAGAGGCACAAAGAGAGTTCAACAGCCTAGCCGGTGTGGCTCAGTGGCTTGAGCATCGTCCCATGGACTAAGAGGTCCTAGCTCGATTCCCAGTCAGGGCATATGCTTGGGTTGCAGGCTGGATCCCCAGTGTGGTGTGTGCAGGAGGCAGCCAATTGATGAATCTCTTATATCAATGTTTCATCTCTCCCTTCCTCTCTCAAAAGAATCAATAGAAACATATAAAAAAAATTTTAAAGATGGTTCAACATATGGAAATCAATCAACATACTATACCACATTAACAAAATAAATGATAAAATCATATAATCTTATCAACAGATGCAGAAAAGGCATTTGATAAGATACAAGATCCATTTATGATTAAAACACTCAATAAAATAGGTACAGAAGGAAAGTACCTCAACATAATAAAGGCCATAAATGACAAACCCTCAGCCAATATCATACTCAATGGTGAAAAACTGAAAGCATTTACTCTAAAACCAGGAACAAGAGAAGGACGCCCACTATCACCACTCTTACTCAACATAATTCTGGAAGTCCCAGCCAGAGCAATCAGGCAAAAGGAAGAAATAAAAAGCATCCAAATTGGGAGTAAAGAAGTAAAGTGTCACTCTTTGCAGATGACATGATTCAATATATGGAAAACCCTAAAGACTCCACCAAAAGCTATTAGAAACAAATACAGTAAAGTTGCAGGATACAAACTCGGCATGCAAAAATACACTGCTTTCCTATATACTAACAATGAAATTTCAGAAAAAGAAATGAAAACATTCCTTTTGCAATAGCAACCAAAAGAATAAAATACCTAAGAATAAACTTAACAAAGGAGGGGAAGGACCTACATATTGAACACTACAAAGTATTATCAAAGATATTGAAAAAGATACAATGAAATGGAAGGATATTTTGTTTTCATGAATTAGAAGAATCAACAGAGTTAAAATGGCCATACTATCCAAAGCAACATACAGATTTAATGCATCCCCCATCAAAATCCCAATGTCATTTTTTAAGTAATCATCAGATTCCTGTGGAACCACAAAAGACCCTGAATAGCCAAAACAATCCTGAGAAAAAAAGAACAAATCTGGAGGTGTCATACTACCTGACTTCACATTACACTACAGAGCTATGATAATCAAAATGGCGTGGTACTGGCAGAAAAACAGACAGACCAATGGAACAGAATTGAGAGCCCAGAAATAAAAATCCATGTATATGGGCAAATAATTGTTTTAACCCTCATCTGGCATATTTTTTTTATTGATTTTAGAGAGAGGAAGGGAAAGAGAGAGAAACATTGATGTGAGAGAGAAATATCGATTGGTTGGCTCCCACATGTGCCCCAACTGGGGATCAAACCCACAATCTGGGTATGTTCCTTGACCAGCAATTGAATCCACCACCTTTGGTGTACAGGAATGATTCTCCAGTCAACTAAACCACCTGGCCAGAGCTGGGCAAATAATTTTTTACAAAGGAGCCCAAAAAAACATACAATGGGGGGAAAAAAAGCCTCTTCAATAAATGGAACTGGGAAAATTGGAAAGCCACATGCAAAAGCATGAAACTAGATTATAGTTTGTCCCCATGGACAAAATGGATCAAAGACCTTAATATAAGATCTCAAACAGTAAATTACGTAGAATAAAGATAGCTACTAAATTTATGGACCTTAGTCTTAGAGAACATTTTACATATTTAACTCCAAAAGTGAGGGAAGTTAAGGCAATAATAAATAAATGGGATTATATCAAATTAAAAAGCTTCTGCACAGCAAAACAAACAACAAAACAAAAAAGAAATGGAAAATGATATTTGCAAACCATAGCTCCGACATGGGATTTATATCTAAAATATATAAAAAACTCATAAAACTCAACACCAAACAAACAAACAGTCCAATTAAAAACTGGGCAGAGAGCACAGCTGGTGTTGCTCAGTGGTTGAGCATCTATCCATGCACCAAGAGGTTGCCAGTTCTATTCTTGGTCAGGGCACATGCCCAGGTTGTGGGCCAAATCCACAGTGGGGGGCATGCAGGAGGCGCCGATCCAAGATGTTTCTCTCTCACATTGATGTTTCTCTCTGTCTCTCTCCCTAAAAAAAAAAAAAAAAAAAAAAAAAAAAAAAAAAAATCATACAAAATAGCCCAGTTTGAGGAAATACACCTCTTTCTTTTGTCTTTGGAAGTATTTTAATATTTTATATTGTATTTCAAGTTGTATTGATTAAATACATGTTTGTTCATTAAAAGAAATGAAAATAAAGTGAATACATGTTTAAAGGTGACAGACTCAGGGAGGGCAGCATTGATCTGGAACTCTGCTGACAGGACAGAACATCCAGGGATGTTTCTCCAAGAGGAGCCTTCACCCAAAGGACTTCCCATAGGATGTCTGTGCCCAGGGAAGATCCTTGGAGAAGAGGCACAGGGATTTCATCCAAGATATTCCAGGAGGTTACTAGCTGCTTTTCTGTCTTGTAAAATATTCACAGACAAATATAAACCTTTGAAAACAACCGTCCATTGACTGTGGGAAAATGATAAATTAAATTATTGGGTCTGTTTGAGATGCACCCCGGAGGACAAATAGTTAATGATGATGATGCTGTGAATCAGAGTCCTGGGAAGCTGACAGTTGGGAATGGAGAACAGTTCTAGCAATTCAGGAATTTACTGCAGTCCTAGGAAGAGTTTGGCTGGGGAGACAAGGTCGTGCGCCCCATACATTTGGAAAACTCTGGAGAAAACGGGTTATCTCTAGGGAGAAAGGAGAAACTCGGGACCAAACAGACTACAGCATGAACCCTGGAGACCAAGTAATTATTGTTCCTAATGACCCTCTCGGTGGTCACCAAAACCAACTTAGGAGACGCGGGAACGCGGGTGCAGAGCTGCGCAGACACGCTCCGGGCCGAAGTCCTCGTGCGCAGTGACGGACTGGACGCCCATGGCGACAGCTGGCGGTGCAGCCCCCACACTGCGAGCCCGAGGGGACTGAGGAGTGAGCGGAGCCCCCGGGGGCCTTGAGTCGGCAGACTGACCGAGGAGAGACAGTCCCGCCAGGGCGATTGGACCAGCTCCGCCTCCCTGTCTGCTCCGGGCCGCACACTCACCATTCCTAGGTTTCCTGGTTTCCCTGAGTCCGTCCTGTAATTCCCACCACCAGTACGGATCACAGCTGGACAGATGAGGGCGGAGTAACAAGGGGCTTTAAGGGCATGATAGATGCGTTCGGAGCGCAGCTGGAGCGAGCAGGACAACCGGGTGGTTGCAGAGCGTAGCCCAACCCGCCTACCTCCGCTGTAGCCCCACCCACCTGGCCCCACAGTAGCCCCACTCACCTGGCTCCTGATATGACACACAGTTTGCAAGATATCGGCCCCCTAGTGCCCAAGTTACAGAGGCCTGAGCCCAAAGCAGTCAGAATTCTACCAAATTCTAAATTGTTGGGAAGGTATAAATTACCATAAATAACAATCACAGCATTTATTTTGAAGATATGAAAATATGGGAAAATAAGTATCCATAGATAATATCAAAATAGCCATCACAGAATTTTATTAAAAGCATTACTTCTCAGTAATTTTACAGGAAAGTTTCGATTTTACTTTTCAGGGAAGTATTGATTCATCTGCAGTGTACAATGTAGATTCTATTGAGAGAAGTTGTGCTTTTTTAAGTCTTTATAACATGGTGATGGCAATAATAATGAGAATAGGAACAGAAATGCTAGCATTAATAATAAAGACCCTTTACTAAGGGAACACTGTGTAAAGTATATGATTGTCTAATCACTAAGCTGTACTCCTGAAACGAATAAGAATAAGAATAAGAATAAGAATAAGAATAAGAATAAGAATAAGAATAAGAATAAGAATAAGAATAATAAACACTTTAGAGAGACTTACTAAGTGTAAGGCACTGAGCATCATGGGTGGATTGACTCATTACTTTTCACCTTCACAGACTCTTAAACATGGAAGCACTAATATGATCACATTTGGTAATGGGCAACTGAGACTTAGGGGATCTAAATGACTTCTCTAACTTTACATAAGCAGTCAGTAGGGGAGCTCAGATTCATTATCACAAAAACAAACTGCAGGCATATTTCTTCTGTGAATATAGATTATTTTCAAAAAAAAAAAAAGAAACTCAGCTAATACTAGTACCTAATCCAGCACTATCTTAAAAGAATTATGTACTATGACTAAGTGGGACTTATTTCAGGTATGTGAGGTTGGGTTAACATCTCAAAATCAACTAATGTAATACATCAGATAAAGAGTAAAAGCAAAAATATCACAATCATCTCAAGAAACTCAGAGGATGTACTTGACAAAATCCAACATCCATTCATGATAGAAATACTCAGCAAACCAAGATTCAAAGAAAATTTCCTGAACATGATAGTGAGGAAGTATGGGACATCCACAGATAATACTTTATTTAATGTTTTTCCCAAAAATGAGGAACAAAACAAAGATGCTAGCTCTTTCCACTTCAGTTTGGCAATGTACTGGAGATTTTAGCCAGAACAATTTGACCAAAAAAGGAAATAAAATGTATCCACATTGAATAGAAAGAGGTAAAATGATCTTCACTTGCATATGACTTATCTTCTATATAGAAAACTCTAGCCCAGCCGGTTTGGCTCAGTGGTTGAGCGTAGACCCATGCACCAAGAGGTCTCCAGTTTGATTCCCAGTCAGGGCACTTGCCCAGGTTGTGGGCCCAATCCCCAGTGGGGGGCATGCAGGAGGCGGCCAATCTATGTTCTCTCTCATTGATGTTCCTATCTCTCTCTCTCCTTCTCCCTTCCTCTCTCTAAAATCAATAAAAAAAATAAAAAAAAAGAAAACTCTAAGGAATTCACTAAAACATCTATTAGATCTGATCATTGACTACAGCAAATTTGTATGATACAAGTTCTGTATATAAAAAAAAACATTTTTTATACATGGCAATGAACAATCTGATAATGAAATTAACAAAGGAAATATATTTACAATATAATCAAGTGGAATAAAATGAGAAAAAAATTTTATTGATTTTTTTTTTTTTTTTTTTTAGAGAAAGGAGGGAGAGGAAGAGAGAGAGAAGCATGGATCAGCTGCCTCCCACACACACCCGGAGGGGGATAGAGCCCAAAACCTGAGCATGTGCCCTGATGGGGAATCAAACTGGCAATCTTTCAGTGCAGAGGATGATGCTCAACCAACTGAGCCACCCTAGCCAGAGCAAGAATAAATTTAATAAAAGAAAGTAAATACTCTGAAAACTTCAAAAAATCATTAAAAATTTAATAAAGTTCTACAAGAGTGAAATAATAAGCCCAGCTGGTGTGGCTCAGTGGATTGAGCATTGTCCCAAGGACTGAAAGGTCCCAGTTTGATTCCTGGTCAAGGCACATACCTAGGTTGTGGGTTTGATCCATGGTGGGGACACATATTGGAGGCAACTGATCAATGTTTCTCTCTCACATCGATTTTTTTCTCTTTCTCAAAATCTCTCTCCCTCACAACAACAACAACAAAAAAACCATATCCTTGGGTGAAGATAAAAAAATTAATAAAGTATGGAGCTTCTTCATAAAATTAAAAAGAGATACCACATAATTCAGCAATTCTACTTCTAGGTATTTATTGGAAGAAAATGAAAACAGTAACTTGCACCCCCATGTTCACTGCAGCATTATTTACAATAGCCAAGACACGGAAACAACCTAATGGTTCATTGATGAATGAATGGATAAAAAAAATGTGGTAAATATATGTATGATGGAAAACTATTAAGCCATAAGATAGAATGAAATCTTGCCATTTGTGACAACATGGATGGACCTTGAGGTTATTACACTACGTAAAAGAGAAGGAAAAATACCATATAACCTTCTTCATATGTGGCAACTTTAAAAATACAGATAAATAAAATATAAACAAGCTGAAACAAAGCTCATGGATATGGAGAACATACTGGTGGTTATCAGAGTCTGGGAGTGAGAGGGTACGAGAAATGAGTGAACAGGATCAAAAGGTAAAAAAAAAATCAAGTGTGTTGTACAAAAAAAAATTGTACAATTATAATAATCACATAGTGAAACAGAAAAATGATTACATATTTTTATATATTTAAATTTGAAAATTATGCATCATTTCTATTAGATGGTCATTAATGAGTGCATATACATGCAAAGGAATATCAATTATATAGATCTGCAATAATTTTTTTTTTTTTTTGGTACGTGCCCCTAGCGAGAACCAAACCCGGGACTCTCTGGTCCGCAGGCTGATGCTCCAATCACTAAGCCAAACTGGCCAGGGCAGATCTGTAAGAATTTTGAGGGTATGTGGAAAAAAACTCTCTTCTAGCAACATTTTTCCTGAAATTAATTTCTAGGAATAATAAACATTAAACATTTTTATTGCCAAAATTTGATTTGTATTTTTGGAACTTTAAAGGATTGAGGTATGGCTGAGTGGGGATTTATATATTCGGACATTGCAAATCTTTTTTTTTTTTTTAATTTTTCTTTATTGATTTTAGAAAGAGAGAAACATCGAAAAGAGAGAACATCGATTGGCTGCCTCTTGCATGCCCCCCACTGTGGACTGGGCCCACAACCTGGGCATGTGCCCTGACTGGGAATTGAACCGGCGACCTCATGGTACTCAACCACTGAGTCACACCAGTGGGGCTAGACATTGCAAATCTTTAATAAAAAAGAGTAAAGGCCTTGGAATAATGCCATCTTTTTTCCTACCTCTTTATTTCTCCCTAACCAATGGAGGCAAGAAAAAAAAGAGTGAACCTTAGAAAAATTATATGAAGATCTAAATTATAGGGAAAATAGCCCATGTTTACAGATCAAGACTTAACATTATTGAGATGGCAATGCTTCCCAAAATGATCTGGATATTCAACACAATCTCTAACAGAATCTCAGCTGATTTTTGATTGACTTTTTGGTTTGTTTGTTTGTTTGTTTGTTTGTTTTTTAGAGAGAGAGATGAAGGGAGAAAGAGAGAGAGATAGAAACATTGATAAGAGAGAGAAGCATCAACAACAATTTGCTGCCTCCTGTAAGCCCCCTACTGGGGATGGAGCCTGCAACCCAGGCATGTGCCGGGATGGGGAATTGAACCAGTGACCTCTTGGTGCATAGGTCGTGCTCATCCACTGAGCCACACCAGCCTGGCTCAGCTGACTTCTTTACAGACATTGTTAAGCTGTTTCATAAATTCATGTGGAATTTCAGAACAACCAGAGTAGTGAAACCAATCTTGGAAAAGTAAAACAAAGTAATAGGACTAACATTTCCTGATTTCAAATCTTACTACTCAGCAATAGTAACCAAGTAGTGTGGTAATGACACAAGGATAGACACACAGATCAATAACATAGCCTGAGGTTTCAGATATAAATCCATTCATCATAGTCATCTGACTTTTGAAAAAGATATTACAGCCTTTTACATTCCCAAGTTCTCTAAGATCTCAAATAAATTTCCTAATAGTGTAGATCATACAGCTGAGAATTTAATGGACACATCTCATAGCTAGTAGTTAGAATGAGAAAAGTCCTTGCGCCCAGGTCCAGCTGGCTGCGGGGTTCCAACTTCCCAGCAGAGCCAAGTGCTTGGGAGGCCACAGGATGTTTTAAAGTATGAAATGAGTGGGAGTGGGGAAGTGATGGGTGGAAGGCTCAACGCTGTCAACAGTAAAAGATCGAATGGACCAGACTAATTATTATAAATGGTGAGGTGACTGTTAAGTGTATGTACTTGTAAAAAAGGATCACAGTCCCACCAGTGGCCTCGCAGTATTATATTTCAACGCACCAGTCCCACAGAGGACGAGTTCCCGCGGGCTTTCTGCCCAGTCGCCAAAGCACTGTCCGGCCGGCCGTCACTCCGGCGCGAAAGAACAGGGCCTTTCGAACTGTCCAATCAGGGTGGCCCCGGGGCAAGTGGGTGGGGCGACGGTCCTGAACCCGCCCGGACGTCCTGCTCGCTCAGGCCCCGGGAGCTCGCGGGCCGCTCGCCCTTGAAGGCCCCAGGTAGCTTCGCCGCAGGCTCTGTCGCGTCGGAACCTGTACGGTTACCGGAAACCGTAGGGAGGACGCCCGGGGACCCAGGAAACCTAAAAATGGTGAGTGCGCGCGGCCGGGGTGCGGAGACAGGGACGAGGCGCTGGCTGGAACCGGCTGTAGCGGACCCGGCCTCCCCAAGGTCAAGTCCAGAGTCCGCGGAGCCGCTTGTCGCACCTCGGTCGGCTCCCGCACGCAGCACACCGGCTGGGCCGGCAGCCGGACCCGGGCGTCCTGTCCCGTCTCTGCGCGGCGATTTCGGCCCCGGCCCCGGAGCCTCCCTGGGCAGCTCTGCGCCCGCAGCCCGCGCCGCCCCAGATGGTGCGGTGACCCTGGGAAGGGTCATAAGAGAACAACCGTGACTTATTCTCTGGGGTCCGTGCGTGGGAGGAACTGATCTGCGGGGTCCTCGGTCCCTCCTTTCTCCTGGGGGCTCCCGTTTCTCCTGAGTTTTCCAAGTGTTTCGGAAGCAGGGTCTCTAATCCACAACCCTACTCCCACCTCTTCCTAGGGGTGGCAATAACCGCCTAAATTTCCAAACCCCTCCCCGTATTCCCAAACGCCAACTTCCCCTCTCCAATTCAAGCATTAAAATCAACTATTTGTCTTCCGGGGTGCTTTTCAAACAGACCCATATTTTAACTTTATCATTTTTCCATAGTTAATGGATGGCCTTCTAATAGGGTTTATTTGTTGTTTGTAGATAATTTTGCATGACAGAAATGTAGCGAATAACACTTGGAACTATGTTATATAAAATTCTTATGCCGGACCTCCTAGGATCGTTCCGGGGCACAGCCAGCCTGTGGGAAGTCCTTTAGAAATCTGGGTGGAGGTTCCTCTCCGCAGACTTTCCTGGATGATATGCCCTGTCAGCACTGCCCCTCTCTGGGTTTGTCACCTTTAAAAGATTATTCACTTTATTTATGGATTGTTCAAACACTGGGTTTGTGTCTTTTAAGATATCAGTGGTTGACCAAAGCTACTCCAGTGGGAAGCAGAGGCCTGTGATCAGTGACTCAAATTAAGCCCCTATCCCATCCCCAGAGCCTGCTAAGGGAAGTACTTGAAGGCCCAGTGGATCTTCCTGGGGAGCCTCCCCATGCAGGTGTCCTGCCTGCTCAACCCGCCAGGGAAATTGCCTTTATACTGAGAAGCTACAGCCCTGGAAAGCTGGGGGTGCACCTGCAGGATGAGTAGAGGGGGTGATGCCCCATCTGAGGTTTTATTTGTGGTTCCCCTGGGCCTGTTTCTAGGCCTAGGTTGGAGTATTGCATCCACAGTGCAGGTGCATTCAGAATGTAATTCATGCACATTAGTAAAGTCAGGGAAAGTCAGGAGTTCTGTGTCCTGGCTTAGGGTTCATGAATTTGGGAGGTTTTTTGGGGGGTCAGAACCTTAAATTAAATCCAGCTGAGCATTTCCTCACTGTGAGATGAAGCCTGAGAAAGGGAGCATTTCTTCCTGGGGAGAAGAGGGTGTTGGAGCTCCCAGACTTTATTCCTGGGGCTGCTCAGATGTCCCTCTCCTTCTTTCCCAGGGACTGTCCCACTCCCGGGTTTCTGTCTCAACCTGGAGAGCAATGAATGTAGAACCTTCTGAATGTGGCTTTCCTTCTGTCCTGTGGGAAGCAGGCTGATCATCTGCGTTGATTCCAATACTTGTTCCTTTCCCTTGGATCCTTTATCAGCTCAATAGTGCAGTTCTTTGGCTCTAATTTTCCTGAAAATTTGGGCTCTGAAACTGTAAGATGATTGACAGATACAAGGTGAGGAAAGCAAGAAAATTGTGAAAATAGTTTTTATTCTGTTTAGGCAAGAGAACCTCAAGATGTGAGGTGAGTGTATATAAGTTCTCAAGTACATTTTTCTGCTTAATATCAGTTTTTATATTTGTGTGTCCATAGAGAACTTTAAAAAAGGCTAAAGCAATTGCATTTCTATCTTAATTGATGTGAGGAAAACAACTGAAAGCTCATGTAAATCTTTGAAAATCATACTACGTTTAGGAGCTAAACTCAAACCCTAATGCATTATAATATGCTACTTATTCCTGAAAATATACCTGGTGTGAAATATAGGGAAAGGACAAACTATGATACTACATGTCTTTTTAAGTTAGCAAGAAATTTGAAAATTTTTATTTTGTATGGTTTACATTTTGTAATTGTTAGTGCTTAAAGGAATTAAGTGATTTCCAAAGATTTTCTGACAGTCGATGGCTTGTTTTCATTATCTTAATTCTGTGTTTTACTGAGCAGTTGTTTTTGGTTTATTGTAGTCAAACATTTTTTTTTCTATTTTGGATCTTGCTTTTGATGTTGAATCTAAAAATTAATCACTAAACCAC